TGTTAAACCACTGACAGCTATTCCACCAGGAAAAGAATTATTAACCAAACTCTAGTTGCATATAGATTTATTAGCCCATTGGCAAATGTTCTACATAAAACTTTCTCCGTTTTCCACAAGGGGAAAGAAATCCAGACATGACCTTGTATAATGCAGCAAGGCAAATCTGTGGCTATTTACAGAAATTATGAACAGAGCAGAATGAAGTAGACCCTATCTATCACAATGACTCATGAAAGGTTAGGAAGAAATAAAAAAATAAACAAAGCTCCTTTATTTTTAGTAACTGCTTGTTTTTTCCATCTGCAAATGTTTGTTGTCTAAAAATAAAAGAAAATTATAATGGCTTTTACCTTTAGCAAAATATTAACTTTATTGCTTGAGAACATCTATGTATAAGAATTGGACTCAATGCCATATGCACATTATTTTAGATACCTCACCTATTTATATTTCTGTTTATATTTTTGTTACATTTATATCTTTATTTTTCTTTATACTTACATTTTAAGCATACATCTTATGATTTTTTTTTTTTAAAAAAAACCTTCATTGATTCAGAAAGACTTATGATTCCAGGGAAAGGGAATCTTCACTTCTGCTTTACCTAATCCACTCCTGGGTCCTGGTAGTTGGATTATTGGTGACTTCTGGCTCAAGCCTTTGCTGGTAAATTCTAGGTCCATTTTTAATTAGACCATGTTATTTTATGATGTGGTTGTAGATGAGCAGGAGGACCTGGAATGTATCACTAAGATTTGGCTAAGTAAGAACAGTGACATTATTCTGTTGAAGATCTATCCAGATTTCTACACCAGTTATAGGCTCAAGGCTGGCACAGGATGGTGATATGGAATAACTTGCTGATCAAGGCTGTTGTTCCTGAAATGGTGACATCTGAGTGGCTGCATGTTAAATTAAGCTGATAGAACAAGCTGAATGTCCTAATGATATGCTGACAATCCTGCTGACCAACTGATTTCTTTTCCAGGGTCCATGATCTATCTCTGGGTTGGTGTTGCTAACTGTTCACCTTTTACTATTGGGTGACTTTCAATTTCCATGCTTTGGGAGCTGGATTAGGAAAAGCTTCTCAGCATGTTGACTTCAAGGATGATCATAAGCTTGTCCCAAGTAACTCTAGCTTGATACATACAGGTGATCATATATTCAACCTTATGTTCACCTCAGAGCAATTGAGTGGTGCTCCTGTGACTTTACTGACATAATTAGATTACTTCCTGGTCCAAATAAGATTAACTGCTATCTAGGAACTCTGCTTGGTGGGACTATTAAGAGGGTTCATTCTAGTGGATTTAGGGGATTTCTGAAAGCAGCTTGAGGAAGTTTCCCACCATCTGACAAGCAGTTCTGCTGATTGCCTGGTTAATTTCTCATTGCCAGAGGTGACTTAGGGTCTTGATGAAATGAAATTGTCCCTTTCTGTTCACTAATCCCACAGTTTGTCTGTGGTGTTTTTTTCCCCTTTTCTTTTTTCTTTCTTTCTTCTTTTTTGAGACTGTTTGGATGAAGTGTCAGAAACAACCATGGAGCACCACTATAGGAAATCCAAAAATGAATGTGATTGACCACTCAATCACAGTTCTGGCATGACAGGAGAAGCATTGTTACTTCTCCCTTATTACATTAACATGCTATCAGCCTTATTTAGAATAATAAACTCCCTCTTTGGGTTGGCTATTAGGAAACATCTCTCATATGTTAGTTGTGACTGTTTTGCTCATTTATTTGCCAAGAAAGTTACTTGGATTGGCCAGTCTTGACTTTGCTAGGCAGTCTGATAGCAGGATCTGTCCCAATTTACTAGCTGAGATTCTTATGGGCTGTGGATCTAAGTGGATGGGGCACTCTCCAGTACAACCCCTGACATTTACCGGTTTGACACATACCACTCTAGCTCTTACATGGAGGAAGGGAGGATGCGATAAAGGCTTTTGATAATTCATTATGGAATTGTGATACCAGCAGCTTAACTAGTCACTCTATTGAGTGAACTTTGTCAGACTTCAAGAAGTACATCCATCTTGATGCTATTAGATCTGTTGGCAGTTTTTGATATTACAAATGAAGGTGGATATATCTGTCCCAGGATACTGCAGGATCCAATTGGGTTGGGCACTGGGACCAGAGGTTTTGTATGCTGAGCTTTTGGACACATGCTGGAGTCCATCCTCAGGGATCCTCAGGGAGCTTTTTCTGCTTTTAACATCATTCACTATAATATCTTCTTGGAGCACCTCACAGCTGGCAATCAGATGCACTGGGTTATAGTGGTTCTGCTTCTACTTTTGTGGAAGGAAGTGGCAATGAATAGAATGATGAGGAAGACATTGGCCCAGCATTCTGTTTCTTGGGATCCTTATATGAAGCAATGGGAGGGGGGAATTATTCAGCAGTTTGGGGTATACTTGAACATCCTGAAGATATTCAACTTTGGCTACCTTTTTAAAAACTTCACTCTTTCAGAAAGACCTTTGGAGTCTTGTCCCAGGCCTATCAAAATGCCCCCTAGGTCTTGGACTGTTGGGCTCTGGCTTGTACAAAACAGGCTGAAATCAAATCCTATGAAGATTGAGTTTCTGTTTGCTCATTCCAGTTTGCTGATAGCTTCAGTGTTATTTCTCAAAGAAATAGCACTGCTCCTCAAGGAGCAGATTTTCTGGAGTCTTCTTGGATTCATGACTACTACTAGATGGACAAGCAGAGGCCATATTCAGGAGAGCCTTTGTCCACCTTCAGCTGGTAAACCAGTTGCAGCTCTTACAGAAGTGGGAGCACCTTCTACAATGACCTTTGTCACCACATGATTAGATTTTTGCAATGCTCTCCATGAGGGACTACCTTTAAAGATCACTCAGAAAGTTCCATTGGTTCAAAAATCCAATATTATGCTAATATTATGGGTCCTGGTTACCAGGCACAAATCAACGTTTTGATTTATAAAGCCCTCCATGGATTGGCATCTTAATACCTTCAGCACTAACTGCCAACTCCAGTTCAAGCCAGAGCAGGAAGTGAAGGAGAATATCCTTCTAAGAGAAGTTACTTGTAATTTCCTGATTTTATGAAGCAAAGAGAAGATCAGTCTAGCACATAATGTTTTTCATTGTTTATAGGGGTCCTAGGCTTGAGAATGGGAATAATAGGAACAGGCTTCTGGGAGGTTAGAAGCACCTAACCTCCCATAGCTTCCTCCTAATAGTTTCCATTCTTAAATTCCATAGAACCTGGATGCCCTGTATACATCCCACAGATTGCCCCCCTTGCTGTAGAGAGTAGCAATAGAATCTGAGAAGTATCTTTGTAGAGGGAATGTGAATATAATTGGCCAGGATTCGAACTTCACTTTACTTTCTTGTTAATTCTCTGTCTACCCTCCCCCACAGCTCACATAATACAGTTTATGTATTACTTGAATGTTAGACTGCACAAATGTTTTGGAACTGACTTTTTGTCCCTGGAACTGTGTATTTTATGCCTGAATGCTTATTTAATAAACAAGTCCTGATGGCATCAGAGAATAGTTCTATCTTTTCTAGTAGCATTGATGACTAAGCAACTTAACAGCAATTCTATCAAGACAGACTGGCCTAGCTTTAAGAAATTAATTTGCCAGAATTATCCCTTCTTTTTAAAAATGTAAGCTTTGGATCAAAAACATATATATTAAATAAAATATATGCAAGGACTAGAATCTAAGGAGGCTATTCTAGTTCAACTATTATGATTGATGTCAATTACTGATTGCATTCAAGAGAACACTTTAATACGTAATTCAGTGAGGCTATTCTTTGTCAGTCTAATGATATATCTTGGAAGTGTAGCTTCTCGAAATACTAATTTGGAGTAACACTAGAAAGAAATTATTTTTCCATGGCTTCCTTTAACTATGCAATGGCATTTGGGTTACATTGTAGCCTTCCCCCAGGCCTTACTTTTTAGGAAGCACACAAAATATGCAAATACAGTATCTTCATTGTAATAGAGTACTTGAACAGTACATGAATAAAATACTCGTTATTAAGATCTGCTCTGAGAGAGACAAAGAAGCTTGATACAGGACCAAAATACAATAGAATGCTGTTTTGCTTCTTTTTGTACAGTTGTAAGACAATTGACCTTTAGGTTAGTTTAACAAAAGTCCATAGGTTAGTTTAATGAAACTAAGATGTGTTAGAATCTTAGAATCACTTTAACTATCTAAAGACCTTCTTTTTCTTGACCTTGAGTAATGTCCCAGACTCTGCTTGGGTTGGGGTGAGTGATTTCTCTCTTTTTGTATGTTAATCAGATCAGTTGTTCTACTACTTTAAAACAAGTTATGAATTGAACAAAGTGATCAACAAAGTGCGACTTTAAAGGGCAATGGAAAACTGATATTAAATATAAAGGCAGAGTAATGTTTCTCCCAGTTTGAACTCATGTCTGAAAGGGATCCTGCAAATTGAACAGTAAGGTACTTCAGGTGTTATTCTTTTTTCTCCATTAAGCAAAGCAAGCAGGAGTAGCTAAACTGTACCAGGGAATCCACCGTTCAGCTGGGAAAAAGAAAGAAGTTTCCGAGGAAAAGCAAACTATTCATCTCCCTCCCGCTCTTGACTCCGCTTTGTGGAGTGGGCTTGTGTTGGAACGTGGATGGCGACCAGCTGTCAATTTACCGCCAGAAAGATGAGGACGGCGGGGCGCCTGAGGACTTCCTTTCTCCCCAGGCGCCGTCCGAGCAATCCTCACCCCTGGTGCGGAGGGCAGGAATCGTGGCTTCCCTATCTCCTCCCTCTCCTCCTTCGTTCCCTCTCCCTTCAGCTGATCTGGAACAACTTGGTTAACCTCCCCGCTCCTTTTTTTTCCATGGAGGAGGAGGAAGCCCCCCCCCTTCCCGGCGCGGTCCCAGGTAATTATTAATAGCTCCGCGGACAGGGCAAAGCAAGGTATAAAGTGGGTTTGCCGGGGGAGGGGAGGGGAGGGGGGCGGCCGGGAGAGAAGGCACCGTCTCTTCTCACCCACATCTGCTCCTCAACATCTCCCCGTCAGCGGAATGATTCCCGCCACGACGTCGGGGCTGCCGTTCCTAGTCCTGGGAATGTTCCTTTGCCGCCCGCTAGCTGGAAAGCCAGGCCAGGGAGCGACCACTTGGTCTCGCTTCGCCCAGCTGCCTTTCCCGGAGGACGCGCTCTTTCTCTACGACACATTCCCTCGGGGCTTCCTTTGGGGGGCCGGGAGCTCGGCGTATCAGGTGGAAGGCGCCTGGAACCGGGATGGTAAAGGGCCTTCGGTGCTGGACACCTTTGCGCACAGTCACGCGGCGTCTTTTCGAAACCCCGCCGAGCGACCCTTCGGGGACACGGCCAGCAGCAGCTACGACCACGTCGAGCGCGACCTGGACGGTCTGAGCGCCTTGGCGGTCTCCCACTACCGCTTCTCGCTAGCTTGGGCGCGCCTCCTACCTAACGGCACGGCGCCCGCCAATTTTGCCGGCTTGCGCTACTATGCGCGCTTGCTCTCCGGCCTGCGGCAGCGTGGCATCGAGCCCGTGGTCACCCTCTACCACTGGGACCTGCCCCAGGCCTTGCAGGATCTTTACGGCGGCTGGGAGAACCCGGTTCTCATCGAATTTTTCTTGGACTACGCCCAGTTCTGTTTCCAGCACTTTGGCCGCCAGGTGCGCTACTGGCTCACCATAGACAATCCTTATCTCGTGGCGTGGCATGGCTACTCCACGGGTAGGCTGGCCCCGGGTGTGCGAGGTGGGCTGGAGGTGGGCTACAAAGTGGCGCACAACCTCCTGAAGGTAAGGATGGAGTACAGACAGGATCCTCAGCTTCTATGGGCCTAATTGCTGGTCTTTGCTAAACGTTGTTTCACTGAGCGCTTGTCCAAAGTACTGTAGCTGGCCAGATGCTGACTTGTATCCAGGATAATTAATGGTCGCCTTGAAAAGTATTCGGACTCCTATATTTTCATCCAGTACCCCTTGTTACTCAGGTTGGCTGAGAATTGTGAGGAGTTGAAATCCAACAGTTATGAGAGCACCAAGTTGGGGGAGATTGAGCTTTATCTTAGAGTAGGGCTGTTCCAGTTAATATTCCATTCCTGTGCCATTGTACTCAGAAGCAATTTCCAGTGCTTTGGTGGGGTTTTACTCCTAGTTAATATAGAGTTAAACAGTTAGACCTTGGCAGCAAATAAACAGTCTTGAGGCAGATTAAACATTAAGTTATTATAGTTTAATGTTACTAGACTATGGCAACATTTCACAAGTTGCCCCAGCTGTAGATTTAAACTCAAATGCTAAGATTTGCAATAAATGAACATTTGAATAAATTGCCATTTGACAGAAAACCTCAAATGGGAATGAACAGATATATAATAACATAATAGGAATAGACACAGATATTGAAAACCTTGCTTTACGTAGAATAAATGCCTGGTTAATATGAATAGAAATGAGACACTTTCCTGGATTTTCACTTGGTAGTGAAAATAAGTTGCAAGTTATTCTTCAGTAATCTAATAGGATTTTATCGGTACTCTTCACTCACTTATCAGCACGAAGTTATGTAACAACTACAAAAAGCGTTATTGGTCATATTCTCTACACCAGTATTTCTTAATCTTGGCAGGTTTAAGATGAAAGATCTTCAACTCCTAGCTCCTTAAACTTGCAGAGGTCAGGAAACAGTTATCTATACCTTTGGGTTCCCATGAACTCATTTGACATTCCTGGATCCCTGAAACAAAGATCAGAGAGTTGAATTTTAAAAAAGAAAGCATCAGACAAAAAGTGTTTTCAGCGCATACTGTAACTTACTGGGGGAAAATGCTTGAGTTTAGTGACAGCCTAGCTGGCTTGCTTAAGAGATATGTTTCATTGTAAATATAGCCCAAATAGATTCCACTGTGTTGAATGAAATTTATCCCATTAGCAACTAATGTTCTCAATCTCCAACCATTCAGTAATTATATCTGATTTTGCTTTGACATTTTTATCTTAGTACATCTTAATTTAGCTTGTTAGTATTGTTGAACATTACTGTTTGCAACTTTCCAATCTATATGTTTATATAAATTTACAGTAGAGACAGTTTTCATTTTAAAAGGTATATTTTTTTAAAAAAAGAATATGATGCAACAACAATCAATTTTTTGTCATTTCTGCTAGAAAGGTTTGAGGGAATGCTTTACATAAAACATGGCTTGAACATACCCACTTTTTTTTGTAACGGCAGTACTATATTTTTTTTAAAAAAGAAAGTGGAGCTAATATATTTAACATTAAAAGTCATCACAGTAATTAATTTAATGACTTGCCTACAACTAGCTAAAATGGTCCTATCTTTGGTTTAGAGCAGGCATGTCAAACTCGCGAGGTATTGGAGCTTTTTCGCCATTGCTGGCAATGGGGTGGGCACTGCTCTGGTATGATGAAACCAGCCCGCGGGCCGGCAGTTTGACACCCCTGGTTTAGAGAGTTTAAGAATGAGGATGCTATGGCAAAGATGGTTGCATGCAATGTTCACAATATTAATGCAATAGTAAATTGATCAGGAACAGAGATAACTTATTTTATTTAGATACATTTTCTAAAAAAAGAATTATTTCAGTAAATCCAACATCTTCACTTTTTGTTATCACTTCATCAATTTTATTTGCAAGGCCTTGGTATTCTGTATAATTTGGGGCCACATAATTCTTGTGAATTCTCCTATATATACTGGTGGGTTAGAATTTGTTTATTGCATCAGAGATTAGATTAATTACTCTGTTTCATGTAGCTTTTCAACCATAAGGCTTGATTAATGTGCCCAATGAAAGCAGTGAAATGAAACTGAGTTAAACAATGCCACATCTTGTCTTGTGCACTGAATAGTGACAAGTTCTTCACATAAATATATTATAGCAATATTTGTCAGCTGACAAACTTTTGAGGTTGGAAGCTTTAATTATCAAAGATCAATGTCAAGAAAAGATGAACCCTTGGAAAAAAATGAGGCACAATCCTGTGCAAAGTTGTTCAGATTTAAGGAGTGAACATAAGGAAGAGTTCGAGTATAGATTTTGCACAAAAAATGTTCCAATCAACAGTAACAGCTTTAGTTTAAAAAAAATGGATAACAGGTAAAAAACTTTTGCTTACAATTCTGATATAAATGCCTGTCAGTAAGAACTGGTTACACTAAACTCATAGCCTTGCAGGCAGGCTTATCTCAAAATGAATGTGGGTATAAAGGAAGATTAATGTATGCTATCTAGCATATTCTTGGGCAGTTGCTGAAAATCATCAAGCAAAAAGAAAAATAGCAAAAATGAGGCAAGCACCAATAAGATGTACTCTGTTCAAGAAGATATAAAAATAGGTTCATACAGGGAACAATTCCTAACATACTAGTTATGTAGTATTCCATACTTAGTGTACTCCTCGACTTATGACTATAATGGATCTGGGAACTTCCATCATAAGTCACGGTGATTGTAAGACAAGGCCCCCACATGACTGACCCAATTTTATGACTTTTTTGTGGCAATTGTTAAGTGAATGCCATACTCAGTAAATGAATGCTTCAGTCGTTACACAAATCCATGTATTCCTATGGGTGTATTTTACCAGAAATCAACAAAAAAAGTTGTAAATTGAGACAATGTGACTGGGGAACATTGCAACTACCCATAAAGGTCAGTCAGTTGTCAAGTGCCCGAAATACAGTTAGGTGACTACAGGTTGTATGTACAGCTATTGAAACTATGGAACCGGTCATATATAACTTTTGGCAGGTCTGTCATAACTATTGAAACTATGGAACCGGTCATACATAACTTTTGGCAGGTCTGTCTGGTGACTACCTGTATATTTAGTTGGGTTCTCATGCCAACAGAACAGAAATCAGTGCAACAGATTCCACCTCCTTTTGCGTATTCCTTAAATCTGGCAGGATTATGAGGAATCTCCTAAGAGTCATACAATAGAATGCTTCGGGAAGAGAAAGAGAAGTTCAACAATAAAGTCTCTTTGAGTAGATTCACCTCCCGTTGATCTCATGGATATATTTATGAGGCAACAGTACAGGACTGTTTTAACATTGCCTTCATCCAGGGTGCATTTTTGATTTCCCAGTCTAGCCTTGATCATTCTGTTTTTCTGTTTATGTCCCTTTTTATGTTCAATAGGAACATAACATACAGTATGTTCCTATTGAACATATCTTTGATTCCCACTGCCTTTAAGGCAAGAGTTGTTAAGAATAAGGGAATTGGTTTTTTTTTCTTGTTTTTTTTCTCATGTCTCTTATTTGTTTCTATCACATGCCTGTCAGATGTAAATAACCAGGAGAATTTGTTGAGTTCAAAGCACAGAAGAGTTTATTATTGCTACCTATATACAAGAATCTAGTGAATTAAGGGTCAAAGCTAAATTGGCTCTAAATTGTCTCTTGTGGCAACTCCAAACTGATGACATATTTAACCCCACCTTCCAGCTCAGCCTCGTCTTCTCCTACATATACATCCTGAATGTCAATTTTTCAACTTGCCTCTCTGGTAACTTTTTTCCTTCCCCCCTCACCCAGTTATTTTGCATATTCATAATATTTTCTACTTTGTTTTCAGTATATTGTGCCATTTTTTCTTAACCTACTATATTAGCTGTTATAAATTTCCCACATGATAAGAAAATTTTGCTGATACTTTTTATTAGAGATAGGTCAATACAATAATTACATTTATCGGTGACTGGAAACTACTTATTTTCTCTTTTTGCTGAAAAAAGAGAAAAATAAACTTGTGATTTATGGGTTTAAGGATTGGAAAGGGTAGCTTATGAAAAGAGTGAAATTATGATGTAACCTTGGAGAGAGTAAAATTTAATGCATTTACATCTGCTGTCAAAAAGATTAGAAGCTACTTCTTTATAATCCTTCCTTCCTTCTTGCCTGCCTGCCTTCCTGTTTTTTTTTCTATTTCTTATTCACTTTCTTTCTTTTCTTTGTTTCTTTTCTAATATTTATATTGTTTTTATCTTGTTAAAAATTTCTTCAATAAAAATTATACCAAAATAATAATAATAAAAAAGGAAAATTGCTGATACTGATCCCAGGGTATAGTAGGAATATTTAAATGGCTATTTCCTGACACCTATATGGCTCTTTGGAATAGGAGAAGAACATTTATCCAAACCCTATTTAAATATGAGAGCCATTTTGTTAAAGGCTAAGAAGCTTTTAATCTTATTTGACTACTGACCTTTCAATTATATTAAAGTTTCGTGATGATGAATCCAAAATACACAACTTTTCATACAATACAAATATAATGAACCTATATATACAACCTATAAATAATAGTGCTGTGGTTTGTCAAAATTTAGTATGTTCTGTTATTGATGGAATGAGGTATAAATTGTCATTATTATTTAATTCTGAACTTCCTTCATCAGGTCATCTCAATAGACATCAGTTATCCTTTTGTGTTTTCTCATGGATAAATTCTTCCTTTGCAGTTGAGAGACATACATGCTGCATGATCCAGTTTGTGAGAACATCAATTTACATTTAATTTTTCAAAAACTTCATGGAAAGTAAAGGCAGCTATTTAGATTTCATTCTTTGAACAGTGTCCTTAGTTTTTTTCTTACTGGTTAATATCACATGCAAACTCATTACTGAGTTTGTAGTGAAACTGATTACACTTCTTAATTTCTTGAAGAAGACTGTAAATCAGTGGTTCTCAACCTTTCTAATGCCGCGACCCCATAATACAGTTCCCCATGTTGTGGTGACCCCCAACCACTTATACATCACCGGGTGCCAGGGGCATGGCCAAAGAAAAGGGGGAAAAATGGCGGACAGCCTTGTTTGGTGACCCCCGTGAAATGGTTGTTCGAGCCCAAATGGGGTCCCGACCCACAGGTTGAGAACCACTGCTGTAAATAGATACTAAGAGAGATTAGAGAGATATTTAGTTCACATGCTAAGTCATGATTTTTGTTAACAATAGTTTGCTGGAGTCACAGCTGTTTGGGTACAGATATTATGTTCATAGTTTATAAACCAGTAGCTGGTTTGTAAAAGCTTTACAAACTGCACATATTATAAACAAATTATGTCATGGTTTAACATTACTTTGAACCCTCTGTACATTAAAGAAATATGTAATGTATGCATTTTTTCTGTTATTATTTTTGAGTGATGTGGACAACTGTATAGGTTTAAAAGTAGTATGGAAACTATTTTCTCCTTTGCCTCCTACTTTGGCCTTGATTAGATGTCCATGTGCCTGCTGTTTACCTTGCCAAATGTGATATATTTCAATAAATAATTTAAGGTTAGGGTTATATGTACATGCTAGCAATCTGGATTAATTGGGGGAAGGGTGGAAAAGAGATAAAAAAATCTTTCTTCCTTGGACCTCAATGTAGTTCAAGTTTCTACATTATCTTTCAGTTTACCCTCAAGGGATAAATAACATCATGCAAAGTGCAGAAAATGTTAGAAGAAAAAGAGTATGAATATAAATATAAATATAAATAAGAATATGAATTGGAGTTAAAGCCGTTTGGGCATAGTAATTGATTCTGATATTGAGTTTGGAACACTTTAATTGCAGGTGCCATTGTTTAATTATGATGATGTTTGTTTTCAGTTGTCATTTACAGCTTTTGTCTGCATAACTGTTTTTTGTTTAATTCTGTGTATAGACAGTCTGCTGCCAAGTGATTTATTATTTTTAATTTTGTTGATGGCCCTTACATCATTTCAAATGGGTGCTATGGTGTGAGGCTTTGCTTTGACCCTTACAGTTCAGTAGAGAGGGATGAAATATTTCAGGCCAATGTTCAGAGTCATGGTGAACTTTTCTGTTCATGTTAGCAGAATAGGGCTGGTATTTTCCTCCAATTCCCACCCAGCTTTTAAAGTCATAGAACCCAATTCATTTTGCTGTGGTCACTTAGACATTGCCATGGCCTCAATTGTTGATTAGTCGCTAACATAATTCTGTTGGACCATATAAATAAAATATAAGAATATTAACAGCTACAGAAACATTGGTTCACTAGTGTATTTCTTTCTTTTCTACAGGCCCATGCCAAGGTGTGGCATCTTTATAATGACAATTTTCGTCCTGCTCAAAAAGGTCAAGTATCAATTGCTTTAAGTTCTCACTGGATAAAACCTCAAAACATGGCTGAAAAGAATATAAAAAGATGCCAGAAATCTCTTGACTTTGTGCTGGGCTGGTTTGCTAAGCCTATATTTATTGATGGAGACTATCCTCAGAGCATGAAACATCACCTTTCCTTGACATTACCAGAATTCACTGATGCAGAAAAGAACTTAATCAGAGGGACAGCTGATTTCTTTGCTCTTTCTTTTGGAGCCACATTAAGTTTTCGTTTTGTGGATCCAGAAATGCTGTTCCAGCAGCAGAAATCACTGAACCTGAGGCAGCTACTTTACTGGATAAACAGGGAATATAATCCGTCACAGATCTTCATTGTAGAAAACAGTTGGTTTGTTTCTGGAAGTATAAAGACAGATGACTCCAATTATATGTATTACCTTAAAGATTTCATAATGGACACATTAAAAGGTAAGGTTACTTTTGGCATTCTGGTCAAGAAATATTAAACCATTTATAATGTTTAAGAGAAGCATTTTTCTTATGTCAATTAAATAAGTTCTATTTGAACATTAATGAATTAGTATTTCCATCCAAATATTGCACATCCAAGCAACTTCATCAGTAAAAAAAAAATAGGCAAAATGTTGTTGGAAGGTACACACTGGTAGACATTGGTGTACCAACTCTTACCATACCAAATTCAGGGGTTTCTCTCCAAATTGTATTGCAATATGTCAATGAAGACTCAATAAGACTCAGTATGCAGTTGTGCTTCACTTATGTATATCCAGGGCTTTTTTTGTCATAGAACACCCAGAACAGAGTTCTGGCACCTTTTTAGGATGGAACCTTGTAGGGTAGGCAAGGTGGGTTGTATGACAGATGTGAGTTCTGGCATCTTTTTTTTTTTTTTTTTTTTACAAAAAAAGCACTGCTTATATCCCTATTTATACTTCTTTGAAAATGAACTAAAGTGTTGGTAAAAGCATCAGGAGGAAAAATTATTTTTTTATTTTCATATAACAGCTAAACTATATCATTTCCCTGGGGAAAATTGAGTTTTCCTGGTGTCAGGTTGTATTAATTTTACATAAAATGTTCTTATTTTTGTAAATAATTGCTAAATTGTGGTATGTTTATAATTCTAAATCCAATTAACACTTGTTTACTATTACAGTTTATATCTTGCAAACTTACAATAAAACAGACAAGACATACATGTGCACACTACTTTGTGTGTACTTTAGATATTATAGTAGGGGAATTGCAAGAAAAGAGTTTATCTTTAAAAAGATAGGGAAACCACGTCTGCATATATTGCATCGCTGTTTCTGCTGTCTTGAATCATTTCCATAGTAATGACTTACAGCATCTTCCTAGTGTCACCCAGCCATTGTTGAAATGATATTATTGTGGTAAAGCCTACCCATATTTTGAATTCAATATTTCTTTTGTTGTTTTCTGCCAGCCCATTAAGTTCGCTTCCATTCTGTTTTTTTTTTTTTTAATTCTAGTGTATTTAATCCTCCAGCTGTTTTTGAACTGCAATTCCAAAATCTTCTGGAAGGCTCTATTAAGCCAAAGTCTTTTCTGCAAAACAGATGTAACTGTTCAGAAGTGTACAGGGTTTAATACACAAGGAAATTAGTTCTGTATTTATTGTTTATTCTTCAGCTATCAGATATGATGGAGTTACGGTGATGGGATATACAGCTTGGTCCCTTATGGATGGCTTTGAATGGGTCAGAAGCTACATTCGACGGGGCTTATTTTACGTTGATTTTCAAAGCCAGGATAAAAAAATGATAATGAAATCTTCAGGTTTGTTTTACAAAAAGCTGATTCAAGACAATGGTTTCCTCTCAACACCAGAAAGCCAACCTTTTAAAGGAACGTTCCCCTGTAATTTTGTTTGGGGGGTCACAGAAAACTTTCTTCAGGTAAGACAATTGAGAAACCAAATGAGATTTTCTAGTCTTTCTTTAGTGTTATTAGATGATAGTTTTGTCTGATTCAATACAAGCATTTTATGATCATACCAATTTGATGGAATTCTCTGATAAAGCTCTTTGGAAGGAACAAATGTCTGTTTCACGTGGGAAATATACACATCTAGAGATCAACTACAAAATGTATTATCTTTCAGCTTTTGTTACTTCACTACTCTACATATTTGTATTTGTAAACTGCCCTTGTCATATAAGTGTGATGGCTGGTATAGAAATTTGATAAATAATAACTAAATAAATAAATGGACAATAAGATTTTCCTATAATAGGTAGTAGATCTATTAGTAGAAATAGGAATACTCAGAATTGGTCCTAAGTTAGCAAAAAAAAAAAAAAATCACCATTTTCAGTTATCTTTGTGATAATATTGGTTGGTTGCTTTTTCTATTTGTGACAGATTTAATTCCTTTCTCTCTCTCTCTTTCTAGATAGATCCAACACGATCTCAATTTCTAAACCCTAATATTTATATATGGGGAGCTCACCAAACCAAGGATCTCATTAAAATTAATGGAAGTGGTGTTCTGAAACGCAAGCCTCACTGTGTTGATTTTTCTCATATCAGACTCCAAATTTCTTTACTTCAAAAAATGCATATCACACACTTTCATTTTTCACTAGTGTGGTCTTTGATCCTTCCTCTAGGCAATCAGGCAAATATAAACCAAACACTTCTATTTTACTATCAGTGTTTTGTCAACGAACTCATCAGAGTTAATATCACTCCTGTAGTTGCTTTGTGGCAACCTGAGGCTAAGAATCAAGGGCTCCCTTTTTCACTGGCCAACAATGGAGGATGGGAGAGCCAACATACTGTGGAAGCTTTTGTTGAGTATGCTCAGTTCTGTTTTAAAAACTTTGGACATCATGTCAAATTTTGGATTACCATGAATGAACCCAATGTGAAGAACCTGACATATAAAGCTGCACATAATCTCTTGAAAGCTCATGCCAAAGCATGGCACTTGTATGATAAAAAATTCAGAAAGATTCAAAATGGTAAAATATCAATTGCCTTACATGCTGACTGGGTTGAGCCTGCCTGCCCCCTTTCAAAAAAGGATGAGGAAGCAGCCAGGCGAGTTTTGGAATTTGACATTGGCTGGCTGGCAGAGCCAATCTTCGGGTCTGGTGACTATCCAGAAGTGATGAGACAGTGGCTTCACCAAAAAAATCATCTAGGTTTTTATAATTTTCAATTACCTTATTTCTCAGCAGAGGAAAGGAATCTAATATATGGCTCCTTTGACTTCTTTGCTCTGAGTCACTATACCACAACTCTTGTCGGTTCCGAAAAAGACATTCCCAAAAAGTATGATGACCTTCTTGATACCCAAATAGTAAAAGATATAACTTGGCTGGAATCACCCAGCCAAATTCCAGTGGTGCCCTGGGGACTAAGGAAACTTCTCAATTGGATTAAACATAAATATGGCAATATCCCAATTTATATTTTAGCCAATGGAATCAATGATGAGCAGAATGAGTCTCATGACAAGTTAAGGATATATTACCTGGAGAAGTATATTAACGAAGCCTTAAAAGGTAAGGATCTTATGGAAAAACATTCATACAGTACTTTAATAACCATGTGTTTTGCTGCATTGGAACAATGTGTGTGTGAAAGACAGAAAAATATACTAGCACTGGGGTTTCAGATTATAAAGTTAATAGAAACTAAGGATGTACAGTGGCTCGAAGGCAAGGAATTCCAGGGAACATGGGTGCAAACAAAACCTATCTGCAAATCCTTATACCAAACATGTTTTCTAGGATTGTATGCTTGGAATAACATTTGGGTCTTCAGAACCAGAGTAGCAAGGCCTACTGAAAATTTAGTTTTAACAAATACAAAGCAGGGTGAAAATGTTTGTGTCTGAAAAAAAAAATAGAATTTTTTTTGCTGTACTCTTTCCCTGCACTCTTTTTTCTTTTTTTCTTTTTTGCCTTCAAAAGAGGTACCAGGTCTTATTTTGGGTGGGTGTGTTTTCCACTCACCTCGTGGCAGCGGCATCAACAGTCCGGCCCAGCAGGCCCACTTCTTCTGCAGCTGAAGGAGCAGCTTCATTCTGCAGCTGAGAATGGAGCTCCAGCCTGCATTTCAGTCAGAGACCTTTCTGGAAGGCCTCTGCAGCCGAGAACCAAGCTACAGATTAAATCCATAGCTCAGTTCTTGGCTGCAGAGGCCATCCAGAAAGTCCTCTGACTATGAAGCGCAGGCTGGGAGATGCCACAGAAGTGGACCGGCAAGGAGAGGCAGGTGTTTATTCATGGGAGGCCTGGTAAGCTCCATTCCCCTGCCCTATCTTGATTTTTAGGCATGTATCTCACCCCAAAACTAGGGCTTATTTTTAGGGTAGGGCTTATATTAGGCCCCCCCACCCCCAAAAATCAAGCTAGGCTACCTTGGCTCTTTTATGACTTGTAGACTTCAACTCCCAGCATTCCTGAGCCGGCATGGCTCAGCTTGGAAATTCTCCCTTTCCCCTCAGCATGGTTGGCTCACAAGTCATAAAAGAGCCAAGGTTGCCTACCCCTGAGCTAGGTCTTATTTTCAGGGTAGGTCTTACTTTCAGGGAAACATTGTATGAACCCATTGACTCTAAAAGTGTATGTTTTATCCATGCTATTAGCCTTTAAGGGGTTTTTTTTGCTACCTTTGCAATCTCTTGTGTACATTTTTACCTGTCTGTTGTCCTATCATCCTTTCTTCTTCCAGAGTTCATGCCACAATGTCATTTAAAAGTATATTGTTTTGTTGCTGTGATTTAGTATCTCTTTTAATCTGTTGCTTTTAATGGCCAGGAAAGTTTTTAAAATTATTTTTTCTATGCAAAGATAAAGTAAGAATAAAATAAGAATAGATAGGAAAGACTGATGGTTTTCAGTGTTTGTTCCAAATAAGGTGAGTTGTTTGAATGGGATTGTATTTTCATATTTTTATTTTGATCTAAAAGTAGGCATAGGAAACTTCACATTAGAAAAAAAATTTAACAAAGACTACATTTACTGTATATTGTTTCTATCATTTCTTCTGTATTGGTCATGATATTTGGTGGGTTACAAACTCAGTAGTCAAGAAATGTATAATAATCTACAGATAAGATTGCTGCTAAAATAAATACACCACTAATTTTTTGTTCTATTCCTTTCTCTGTGTTTTTTTTAGCCTACACCTTGGATGATGTTAACCTCCATGGCTATTTTGTCTATTCTTTCAGTGACAGAGGGGATTCCAGATCATATGGCCTCTATCGTTATATGATAAACAAGTATGAGGCAAAACCTTCGCTGATGTATTATAGGCAGATAATTGACAATAACATCTTGCCTGGCTCAGAAAGCCTAGATCAGCTCTGCTCCAAAGAGATTCTTCATTGCCCAGAATGTGAATCTTTGCAACCCAGAAAATTTTTATTGGTGTTTATATTATTCATACTCTTTACTTTCATTGTTATTATATTTCTGATGGCTTACTACTCCAAGAAGATTGAGAGACGACCCAAATACTCTTATCCAGTTCTTTGCCGCCTTTCACCTGTGTTACTGGGAGAAGTCTGGAAATAATTATGCAGTAGGCTGTGATTACTGTTGCACTGTGTAGGCCATCTAATGCTGTGGTTTCTAAGCCCATAGATGAATCATGTCCATGGAGTTTGTATGATTCCTCTTGGGATTTGGTTTTAGCATTTTTACTTTTAGTTCCTTAATATTAATTTCATCTCTCTTCTCCAATAGTTACTTTGATTCATCAAGGGAGATGGAGGAGCAGAACATTGCCTTTTCTTGCATAATTAGAGATCCTCATGTCATTGTTCATCTGTACAATGCTGATAGAGATCTCTGAGCAGATTGAATCGGTCTCTTGGTGAGGATGGGATTTGAAATGAATAATTTGTACAAATGCTGAGAGGACTGCTTGTTCAGTATGCTGTCAGTGATGCCTTCTTTCAGTACATTCCTTTCTACTCCCCCTCTTTTTCATTTCCTGTTTCATACTCCAAAACCTGATTCACCTTCTTTGCGCATGAATATGGCTAGTTTTTTTAATGAGTTAATTTTAGCTCCTGTTCTAGGAACTAGCATTTTATTTCCTAGCTCTCCTATTGTTTCCTGATTATGTATCTATTTAGTCACCATGAGTGCCTCCCTCCCTTTTTTAGTTGGAGGTTTAAAATTAGATTGATGAAGCTATTAATTTAGATATGTCATATTTTTAATAATAAACACTTGGTTATTGAATTCTCAGGACAAAATTAACACCTTCTAAAGTCTTAGATTTTAAGAGCTCAGGGATAGTGCCTCTGATTTTTAGGCAGAAGGCCGCATATTCAGTCCATGCACTGTTCATACAGTGTTTGGTCTAAAAGGCTCAATTATCAGTAAATGTTAAATCAATAGCTATATTCTTGCTGAATCTTAAAATTGAAAATCAACCTAAAAAAAAATCCAGCATACAAGTAAGAATTCTAAAGGCAAGAAAATCATCATCTTAAAACTACATTTTCATCATCTATGAATTGTTAAGCCAGCTAAGTTTATTTGTGTAAAAAGAGGCAGCCAAGGTAATTCTACAGCTTGTCCTCTTTTCAGTTGCTGATGTGTCTCACACTAGTGGACGAATCTGTTTTATTGGATCTTATATAGGAAAGCTGTAAATAGGGTCAGAGTAAATAAGACAACTGGTAAGCTGTAAAAGCAATATTAGTCAGACAGTAACTGCAAGATTGGATAGTTTTAGGTAAAAAAATGGAAGACATGTCTTGATCATTCTCTTGAAATGAGCATATTAGAAAGGAAGAAAATGGAACTAGCAACCAACAGATTTAAATCACTCCTAGCTTTTATCTTTTTAAAGTTTATTTTTTTCCTGTTAGGATTTGGTGCTATCTTTACTCTCATTTGCACTCACTCTGTGGAGATAGGTAGTATATATGTCGACAGACAAACAAATATAGGTAAATAGATGATAGATATGTATAGATAGAGATGATAGACAGCATGTGCTCATCCAATCTTTCTCAAATTGGCACCTGCTAATTTATTGTGACTTCCAAGATTCTCAACTTGGTTGGCGAAATTGCTGTATCCTAATTGCAGACTGCAATAATAAACAATTTTACAATAATTTGCCCAATTATACATGCATATGATTATTACAAGTGCTCATAATACTTTTCTGTATTCTGTTTTCTAAAAGAGCACTTTAATTTTTTTTCTGCCTCCACCCCATCCAGTTTTTGCTGCTATTGACTTCTTTTTCCCTTCTGTTTAATCTGTCCAATTCTCAAAGACTGCTGGGCAGTTTTCCTGACAAGGTTTTTCAGAAGTTTTTTTTTTTGCCATTGCCTCTTTCCTAGGGCTCAGTCTTAGGGTAGAGAGAATGATAGGCCTAGGATCACTTACCTGGTTTGTGCCTAAAACAGGACTAGAACTCATTGTGTCTCATTTTCTAACCCGATGCCTTAACAATTATATTAAAAAATAGGTTTTGCCTGTTTTGAACATTCTCAGTATGAGATACTTCAAACAATCCTGTTAAATGCACTTTCTTTTTATATGTGACAAAAATTCAGAAAGTAGGAATAATCTATGTGATGAAGGATTTAACAAAGAACAGCAATAAGACCATTTTTTGCCTCTTGGATGGCATAATGCATTTTCCACATTTCATTGCACTTGGGGAATCTAAAATGTGGCTATTGTAGTTTGTGAGCAGATTGCATACAGTATGTTTTCTTAATACAATATATTTAGCTATTTTTAAAGAAGATAAATAATACTTGGGCCCCATCATCCAGTATTTAATCTATATTGCATAACCGGGATAAATATGGAGAAACTCTTTTACTTATATAACATATTCTATTCTTTTCATTCCTGACCAAAGCAGTATGCAGTAGTTCACAATACAAATACAAAACAATAATAAATAGAAATATTACACATATAATCTAAAACCTCACTATAACTTCCAAAATTAATAATTGTACACAGACAATCAAAAAAGCACAAATCCAGTGCTAAAATAGAATAAAATAGAATCTTAAAATAACTCCTTTCAATATTGGGTGTGCAAGACAGAAGAGTTTGGATATAACAGTATGTTTTTTCTCTTAAATCAGGGAGTAGTGATCCAGTCTATTGAAAAACTGCACCCAATAATAATAGCAAGTGGAGACCAACATATTATATAAAATGTATTATGATTACAGTGTAAATGTTAATTTGTGTATATGTAAATTACTCCAACAATTGAGGAGGAGGGAATGGCCCATTGGTTTTGTTTTGCTTGATTAGAACTTGCTTTGGTTATGCTGCTAAAATCTTTATGTAGTTTGAATTGAAGTGTGGAGAATTGATTATTTGTATTTAGAATTCTTTTTCCAGTGCTAAAATTGCCCCAGATGGATTTTAGCCTATGTTCATCAGTCCTTGCTGTGATAAAAAAGTTTGAAAGCTTCAATTTTAAATTATACTTTGGTAGGTAGAAAAAGGTTAATTACTGGAAAAACAAGGACATCTGAGCTGTGAAGCTTATTGCCCAGGTTCATAAGTCCATTTTTCCCCAATTGTAAATTGCACACTATTCCCCCCACCATTATTTATTTAGCAACTGTGAATGTATCTTGTATAAATAGTGTCAATGGATAGGGAATGCAAAAGATACTCATTTTAAAGCTTAATGGCTTTTATTATAAAAAATAAGTGTAAAGTCATAATCTGAATAGTTTTATTATCAGCATCCATTATTGCTGACTCTGCTTTGAAAATTCTACTTCATTCATGTCCTTTTTAATTGTGCTAATAATGTCAAGCGCCAGGGAAATCAGGAGATTCAGGCAGTTCAAATGAGTATAAATATTTATTACAAGCAGAAGTCTCTGAACTACTAACGGTCAAGGGAAATTTGCGGGAGTTAAGGAGACAAAGAAATTCAAGGTGGGCTGGACTTAGATCTCTTGTGGGCACACAGGGACTCATGCTGATGATGTGTTTGACCCCCTACCTCTGGCTCAGCTTGGTTATCTTCTACAAATAGTCTGTACATTATTTCTACTTTCTGAAAACTTATAAATGTGATATGACTGTGCAGCTTAGCAAATTCCAATTATGTTTGTCTTACTGTATTTTATGAAATGAATGGTAGCAGAGAATATATTTGCAAAGTGAACCAGATATTTGTCTTATTTATTATCTAATAAATTGAATTACAGTATTTTACTGCAGTACCATATCTTTTAAAAACAATTTGCTTATTTATTATTTTTGATTCAGCTTGTTTAATTTAAAATATTTAGGAATTGATTGTCTTATATGAAGAATTTTAAAGGCTAGGTGAAGTGTTTCCTGATCTCAAATTTTAATGTTTGAAAGTCCCAATCAGTTTTGATCCTGCATCTTCTTCAATTTCTAGACATATAGCAGAGCCTCTTAAAAGATGGGAAATTATGGGAAATTTCATATTGGTTGAAGATTCTCTTCAAATATATATATTTTGAAATATTTCAGTTGGCCAGGAAAATTAAGATAAATTTTAGACAGCTGTTTGGATTTGAGCAATACATAAATCTATAGCTCAGTTTATAATCCTGAAGTTCCCTAAAAAGGCCTCCCTGAACTGGATCTCAGAGGATTTAATACTGTGGCCCAGTTTACCTCTGATCTGAATGGGGGGATTTTCTGCTTTATATTGGCAAAAAAAAAGAGAATAAATGAGAGTGTTTTTCTGTGAGCAAATAATAAATATAGATTTTAGTTTTCAAAGTAAAGCTAGAGTTGATGACAAAGAGATAAAATGCCTCTACTTATTCTGCCCTGCCAATATACCAAAATTGTGGCTGGGTGAAATCAAGTTGTTTCTAGGAAGAAAATGGGCATACATTAGTTGGTTAGTCAGGACTCAGGACATTCTATCATACTTTTGACTGCCTTGTGTTGTTTTCCAGCAAAAAAACCCCTCCATAACGTTGCTATAGGAGTCACAAAAATCAAAATAGCCACAAGTGTGTGATCAAAGCAATGCCCTTTTTGCATGTACAGTATTGCAATGCATGTGCTGTTTATGGTATGTACAGTTTATGGCTGCATCCTAAACTGCAGAAGTTTATAATTTGCTTGAACAAATCAGAACAATTTACAAGTGAGCCTCTTATTGTTGGGAAATGGTGATGTGAAAAAGAAATATAAATATACCTTTGCTTTTGAGAAGACAGTATAAGCCAATGATTAAAAAGGATGGAGGAAAAAGTGAGGGATTGTTTTTTCAGAAGCTTTTGCAGAATTTCAAATGTACACAGTTCATTTGGATTGCACCCAAGACACCTATTACTATTGATACTACCCTTGTTTGCCTTTGCCTTTGCCACAGTCATTCTATTTCTATTTGTAGGTCTTTTTAATTTTGTTATCTTCTCCAGTTCTTTCTTGTCTATTCTGCTGTCTCCAGGCACTGCCACATCCACTATCCAGAAATAATAATAATAATAATAATAATAATAATAATAATAATCATCATCATCATCATCATCATCATCGCGCCTTGGGTGCAATCCCAAAACAACTGGAGCACCAGTTGAACACTGTTGGCATTAACAAATTCACCATTAGTCAATTGCAAAAGGCAGCCTTACTAGGAACTGCTTCCATCCTGTGACGATATCTGTAATATCATCAAACATCCACATCTGCCTATCCCAGGTCCTTGGTAAGGATTCGATAGGTAGACAAAAATGCCAAATCCAGTCTGAACATCTGGCTGACTGTGCGATGATCAATAATAATTATAATAGTAATAATAATACTGACGCTACCGGCTGCAGCTGTCTAACAGCTGACTAGTGTGCCAGGTAATTCCATTGTGACCCACAATAAATTTTAATATATTAATGTGATCTCTACAAATTGGCCGGGCCTGATCTAGATTTAGACTAGGAGGCTGCACTTACTTTTTGAAATGTCTACAGTGATTAAGAGTTTTTCAATTTCATTTAACTTTAAAAGCATGGCTTGTACATTGGACAAAATCTGATTCATGTCAGTGGTGCTTTCTGCAATGATTGCATAAGCAGACAATCATTATGGATTAAGCAAGTCAATCCAGGAAGTAGAACAAAGAGATAATCATTTATACCAAAATTTTGTTACTTCTGTAAAGCATGCAGGGAGCATACGCAGTTAACAGCTGTTCTAGTAGCACACAAAACTCCCTGTGCCACTGCATTCTGTACCAGATGGACCTTCTGGATACTCTTCAGGGTTAGCCCCATATAGAGTGCATTGCAATAGTCCAATATAAAGGTGACTAGGACATGAATGACTGAGCAGGGCCTGCCAATACAGAAATGGGCACAACTGGTGCACAAGAAGAAGCTGTGCTAAGGCCCTCCTAACTACAGCTACTATCTACTCATTAAGCAGGAGTCATGAGGCTACAAGGACACCTATTGTGGACTGTATCTGTTTAGGATAATGCAAACCCTCTAGTATAGTGATGGCGAACCTTTTAGAGACGTGAGTGCCCAAACTGCAACCCAAAACCCACTTATGCATCGTTGAGTGCCGGGTGGGTGTGGCCCATTGGCTGGGTATGGCCCATTGGGTGAGTGTGGCTACAGTGGTAATGGCAGACTGGGTGGGACTAAAAAGTTCAATCAATCAATTCCAACTTTTCAAGTTCTTTTTTTTCCCTGCAAGAAGTTGAAATTGACTGATTGAACCTTTTTTTTTTTTTTTTGCACATGGCGGCGGAGGCCTAAAGCCAAAAAGCTTTATAAAACCCAGCTGAAGACCTAGGACTAGGGCGACGGCGCGCATGCCCACAGAGAGGGCTCTGAGTGCTGCCTCTGGCACCCATGCCATAGGTTCGCCAACACTGCTCTAGTACCAAAGATGGCATAGTCGTGGAACCAATAGACTCTCACATCCAAAGCGACTCAGTCTTGCTAGGGTTCAGCTGAAGCCTGTTGTTCCCCATCCAAATATTCATTCTCCAGATAATGGACATTGTGCTAGGAGTGGAGATATATAAAAGGATACATTACATAATGATACTTCACTCCATGGTAAGGACAAAGCAGCAAAATCTGTGGCACCTCATAGTAATGGCTGAAGACAGGATTTGTTTGGTTTTTAATTTCTGACTTTGAACAAATCTTTTCAAAGTAATTTGGTAAATATTCTGTGGTGCTGTGGTGTGTATATACATTTTGAAAAAAAATCATCATATATGGTATATCTGCAGCTCAGTGTATGTGTTTAAATAATGGCTGTAGAAAGAACCCAAACATTTAGATGATGCAACTTGGGAGGTTTTTTGGTAATAAAATGGAGAATCAAATTCACAAATTTGTCTGAAAATGTGTGTTATGGGACTGACATTGTGAGCATGGATTGACTTAGTCCAGTTTACTAAGAGATGTATGTATATATGATGAATCGAGCAAATGCTTACTTCCTTATGCACGTATGTAACACAGAGAGCTACAAAGAATCTACCAAGAACTAGGGCTCTATTTTGAGGTCAGGATACAATTCCAGAATATATAACATAAATTAAGAGAGAAGTAATTTTGAGCATGTGATATAAACAAAAACAACACATTCAAGTGTTTGATCACTGACAAGGGTCTTAGTTGTGGAATGTATAGGGATAAAACATTGTATAAAAACTGCAAGGAATCTGTGTAACCTATTATGCTTTATCCACCTGTCATTTTTGTGTAATTGTTTTTATTTAACCAATGTGCAACTGATGGAGAAATGATTTGTGTATTTGCATGTAGCGCTCAGAGTCCTTAGCAAATATGTGAGAACCATTTCTCTATCAGCATGCTGGAACCAGCTTTATCTGCTGAGTTTCTCCTTGCCATTCTGGCACTAAAGATATGAGATCTGTCAAGAAAAAGAAATTATAGACAACCCTGTTTTATAGTCATGTATTCTGTTGAATAAAAAATTGCATATCTAGTTTGACTTAAACGATTGTTTAAAATGATAATTGGATATCTCCTCCTGCCAACAGAACCCCTTCTACACTCATAAAATCAGATTTGTAAAGGATGTTGGAGGCTGTACAGGAGGAAAGAAAGGAGATAAAAATCATATTGGTACTCTCAAATCAACAAAAGAACTAACAAAATAAATTCAAACAAACAAGTTGAATTGTCAGGTTGAATTGGGATTTAAACAGTTTGAAAATGATTATATATATTAGGAATAACACACATTGTTTTGTTTTGTGCTAGTTTTACTTTCAAAAAGCCCTGATCCCCACATATTATTGCAAATATCACTAGTGCTTTTGGCACATGTTCCTCTTCGGAAAACAGTCAATCATCCCCAAACTTATATTATCCAGTGGAGTTTCACATGGCTGCCAAAAATGCTACCAGTTTTCTTTTCTTTTTTGTTATGTTCTAAGAAATGCAATGCTGTCCTGATCAAGGGTTCTGCCTATTCTTGGAAATTCAGCCCCTCCGATAAAAAAGGGATGTCTTCCAAGTCTGGCATTCAGGATCAAGAGAGAAGGCCTCTACTAAGGCAATATGAACATTCTACATATGTGGCTGTCTCTTTCAAAAGACATTTATTAACTTCTTCTCAACTGAAGTTGTTTCAAACCCTTAGCAAAAATCAAAATCGGATTATGTGGTTGGAACACAATGTATCATATAGTTATTGTTTCAGAATGGGCTGTTAGAATTACAGCCTGTTTCTATAGGCTGGAATTCTAAATGAAATAGTCCAGAATTCTTGGTACTACCTAGAATTATACAGCTGCTGAAATGTATATAATATTGCTGGGAGCAATGGTTGACAACAGCTTTATAACGTTTTTATTAGACTAGTTGCCCAATTCATGCCCTCCAGTTCATCTAATTCAGGCAGTTAAATTCTTAAGGTGAAGCCATAAATATGGTTAAATTTGTGGTTAAATAAATAAAAAGCAATGGCACAAGGTAGATATGACAATCAATGTACTAACCAACTATTCTGAGCTTGGCCAACCATATAAAGCTGTTATTTCAAAATTCGGTTATTTCAAAATCTCTTTAGGTGCCATCACATTTCAGCCTGTAACATTTGAGATGTTAGGAAAAGAAGTCTTCACGGTTTATAAAATCAGTCCTAGCCATTTTCCAAATACTTTAGAAAAGAAATTAGCAACCTTCCTTTTGCTCTTTGCTGTTGTTTCGAAGGAGAATGCAAAAGGTAAGA